CCTTGTGGTGACAACAGCAAAATATTTGTCATGTCCGGCATTTGTTGAAATTGCATTCGGGAATGGACAGCCAACGTCGCAGTAAACATAGAGATTTTTGCGAGGAATCAGTAGGCTGGATTATTTATTAGGAGAAGGTCTTTATTGGAGTTGAATAAATAAGTTTAATGCGGTCAGAGGGACAGTAGTACGTGGCTGTGATGTTCTTACAGGCCCTGGAGTAAGAGCTGAGACGCCCGGCCAGGGTAAGTGGATCCCGCCCGCAGGGAGGCACCATTTGCCGCCCCTTAAATGACCTACACCACACACAGGCGGGGTCACTGGGGTATTTTAAATTTTATTTTCATCCCTACTCAATGGGAAAATTACACAGGCCAGCTGTCATGGCTGCCCCAAGGCCACATTTACCTCGAGGCAGGTTCCTCCAGTCCAGGGGTGAGCTCACGGCACTGTCCAACAGGCTGGAACCCTAATGGCGCTGTGTTCCACGTTGGGGTCAGCCCACGCACACACACACACACACACACACATACACACATGTCGAGTAAACATATCTTTATGGGGTCCGCTCATTTTAGTTTTTCCATTGCAGTCACAGATTTTTATTAAATTGAGTTTTCCCTTATGGGGCCCAGGATACTGGTATTCACACGGGTATTCATCACGTTGTGGGGAAATTGTGTCCCCATAAGGTAAAGTATACGGTCCACTTTCACACTCAAACTCACACTAACACACACACACACGCACACACGCACACACACACACACACACAGATGGTCTGGACATACCTTGCACACGCATGTCATTTACTCCCAGTTCCTCACCTAAGCGATTATTTACAAGTCACTCTTGGAACGATGGCATCTTTTCATTTGCAAATAAGCTTGAAGAAGAATGAGAAGGAGAAAAACAAACGTGAAAAGCAACCATCACCAAAAAAAACCCCACCTATTATAAGGAGGACATATGTAGCTAAATTGCAAGGGCCCATGGGAAATGCAAATTGGATGGACCTCCCACAAGAACGATATCCTTTATTTTCATGCAAACCATGCTGCTATGAAAAGCCCAGAATAAAAACATAAGGAATATTGCCCACTTTGAGTGTCTATCTGAATGGGCTGTAGTATATTCTCTGAGAATACTCCATTGATACACCTTTAATAACCCTAGAAGACAGATTGCACCACTGTGCTGAATACTCTCATTCAGCAACTAAATTTGAGCTGCTTCTAAACTGCAACACTAAAATAAAAAGAAAACACCTCCCCTGCATTGTTCTCTGCATGGCGGAGCACAATGTAACGAGTGATCTGTAGTACACAAACAAAGAGCTCTTACTTAGTAGAATATTATTCCTATTTTCTTTCAATTAAGGATTTTGTTAGTTGTTTTCTTCTTTTGCTGTTAATCAAATTCTACATCGTGTACGCCTCCCCACCGCTTTTTAAGCAAAATCGAAAATTATAAATTCTTCACGTCCCCTCTCAAGTCTCACTTATGAGTCGATGCATACTCTTCAGCTACTCTGATTGGCCGGCTAACCCCTAAGCTCCGCCCCCCTAACAGACCACCCAAGCTGCTGTCATCCTACCCCACAGCTGTTCCTTGGCGGCGGATGCTTGTGTTACTTTGTCTCCGTGCAGTGAAGGTCGCCCGTGCCCTCCTCGCGCCCACAATGGGCCATGGGGGTGGCCTTTGTGCCTGGCGCAGGTGTCCTGCCATGAAAGGACTCTGGGCCAGAGCAGTGGCTGTGGGGAGGGGGGGCAGGGGGCTCCACCTGTGCCCATGTCCACCCTGGATGCATTATTAGACCCACTGTAAGAATACACCTTTTATATGGGCCTTTCTGACGGTGGTGAGGAGCTCCGCATTTGGAAGGCAAACGACCCATCACCCTCCCCTGTAACTCAAATACTAGGGAAGGTCATTAATGCACAGCTGGGGCAGGTTGTGTCTGGGGGAGGGAGGGGGGGGGGTGTAAAGGTGTCAGGTTTAACAATGCTTCTGAGGAAGTGCGGCGGTTCACGCGGGGTCATGTGACCTTACAGGTTTCCAGGCACGTTCACTGTAGGGAGGAAAGGATCCCAGGTGAATTGAAGAAGCCAGCCCTACTTACAAACAGGGCTCTTCCAATGCATCGCACACTACAGTAGAACTCACCGGCACCTCCGTAATACTCTATAGAACATTGCTGATTGTTACAATTTATCAAAGTGCAGATCCCGGTTTTAACAAAAACCTTACGCCGATCGCGATATGAGTGTCTTGCCTTTGTTGACCCGTTTCGGTTTCTCCTTCGGGGAATCATGTCACGGGAGGTTTTCCAGCTCGAGATACCTAATTATCGGTTGTAAGGGTCTAAAAATCCCCAGGTCTCCCCACACCCGGAGACACGAGCAACGAAATTTGTTTTTCGATCGCATTAGAGTGTAAAAGGAGAGGGTGAGCAGGTAAACTCAATTTCACGCGAAAAACAGTAGTTACTAAAATGTAAAATGCAAAAATATGGTTGGTAACATATCACTAAAGACGACTACTTCCAGCTTCGGTCTAACTTTGGCATCTGCCTTAGAAAAAATGTCTCTCCCAGTTAAGTGTTGTTCAGTGATACACAATTTAACTCTTCCAGAAATTTGGCAAGAGAATATGGGAACATCTAACATTTCTGAGCCGATGCCAAATTCCTAACCATTCGAATATAATCAGCCATCCTTTTTTCCACGAGAGCTGATCCAACAGGGTCGCGGTGAGAATGGAGCAGATCGCGGAGAGCACGCGGTGAGGGGGGGGGAGGTGAGGGCTTTATAGGGCATTCAGAGCTGAACAAGTATCACGGAAAAGGAAAAAAACAACAAGTTTTTTTGCCAGCATTGTACTTTGTAATAAAGTAACGAAAATGTCTTCATTTTATTAAATACTGTTCATGTGTACTGATTGTTGGTTGGATATTATTATTGTTGTTGCTGTTGTTTTGGCGTTATTTAATATGTAATAACTAAGACGATACATTGACGCTTGATGTAGTTCCAGTCTAGTCTGACAGAGACGCACGTAAAGTTTCTATAACAAGGATGTTGGCACACTATATAACGCGGCCAAGAAAGTGTAGACTCAGTGGGAAAAGCGCCCTGCCGTTTAAGCGTAACAGATGACACCTAAGATTAAGCGCCATCGTCCGGTTACATTTCCATTGCCTGTGGTAAATTGCTGACTATATCTAGCGCACAGAAAGACCCCGCGATGATACCCTCATTTATAAACTGGAGAGGAATCGCTCCAGCACGCCAGAAGAAACCGGGAGTCTACGGGGATCTGAATGCAGAATAAAAAATAGATTTTACCCCAACCAGTTTGAATATGCAAAACAGTTTTATTTTAATCTGGGTCAAAAAGTTGCTTATACAAGCAAAGATAATTAAGGGCCAGAGGAGAGAAAAAAAGATGCCGTTGGCCCCATAGATTGTAATGTACTAGAGTGTAGCCCTTAGCCATAGCGTTTCCTGTATGCAGCAGTGAGCAGGCACTTCAGCAGCTCCCAGGGAAGGCTGAAATCGGCAAAGCCGGTCCTTTAGCAGGGCACCGTCAATAAAAACACTTGAAGACCGGTTTTGTGCTCTGAGCCACTCAGCATACTTTAAGTGTGATACGCCAAGGGTTAAATGAACAATTTCCTACTACGAGTTTTTGTCCGTGTTTTTTTTTTTTTGACCTTCTGGGCCAGTATGGGAGACGAGGATTCAGTCAGCAAACAGTCATAACGGCTTATTTGCAAAATCATCCACACATTCACACTTCCTTTGAGCTTCCAGTCTGCTGAAAGCGGCGGCTTTGCTTGGCTGCTGAGTGTTGCTCGTTGGTAAATTGACTACCAGTGTTATGCACCGTCACAATAAAGCGCTGGACAGGGGAGCAGCTGGAATCCATTAATTTGGAGGAACCTAAAGACCAATTTATACGTTCAAAGTTATGTGCATAAATAAATAAGTGCACTTCTTTGATGTTTAACTGATCCTGACATATATTGCAAACTGTTTTGTCCCTGAAACTGATCCATTTACGTTCTTCTGTTTACATCTTGTATACATTATTTTGTATACATGTTTTACATTTTAAAATGCCTTTTTATACTACAGTTTGTATATTTCTTCTCAATTTGGGTTACTGGTACACAGAACAGTTAAAATTTTGTAAAGGGCTTACCCCTTTCAACACTGATTATATAACGTTGGGGATAACTTGATTTTAAAGAAGACATGCTTTGTGTCTTAAAGTGACTGAGATACCAGCACCAGTATCAGGGCCGGCGCCCCCCAGTCCGAGGCAAAGTGAAATTGCCTGACAAATCGGCTCCCTCTCAGCGGTTGGCGCCCTAGACGGCTGCCTATGTCACCTATAAGACTGAGTGGTATTGCACGACCCTGTGCTAGATAAGCGGATGGAAAATTGATGGATGGACAGTGGTTTATTGCCTTAAGTCCTACATTACCTTCTGGAAAAAAAAGTATATCTATCTATCTATCTATCTATCTATCCTTAATTGTACGTAAGGGTCATATATATATATATTTATTTATTTAATGGTGTAAATAACGCTATTGCTACTTTTTGTTCGAGCCTTATTGTTCTTATGTCAAATATACCGTCAATGTCATCACGGTTACATGAGCAATTGACTGCGTTAAAGACTATTCAGTTACCTCTGAACTTTTTCCGTTTAACTATAGGCATAATTATTTTACGTTATATCATTACTTAAGACGACGCCACAAGCCAGAGGAAAACCCTCAGAAGAATTATTTGCCTAGATGTGTATCAGAGCTGCAACGAAGTCAAACTTTGATCAAAGAAATACACATTGACAATTTAAATATCTGATGAAATATGAAGTCTTCCGTGCCACAATATATCTGCGTGGATAGCGACTTAAAACAGAGTTATAATCACAAAAAACGCTTCATTCTAAAAAGAGTGCACATTTTAAGCCTGATCGAAGCTTAGATGGGACGAGATGCAGATGGCGCTCCAAACCGTATTCCTTTCGCGTTAGATACATTGACGCTGCTTTAATAAAACAAAAATATGAGCATATTGGACATCATGCAGGAGTATATGCGCAGTGCAGTTCAGTTTTGGTTGGCCTACGATCACAGACTTTTAACGAGTTCTTACTAGGTTCTAGCCAAGCCGTTGAAGAGACCGCTGCTAGGGCATTTTGACTCGGTCCCTAATTCGTCAGTGCTTTTAAAGTTACCGCTGTAAGAAGGTTGCCTTGTGTAGATTACAGTGCTGGGGAGTTCGCTCATCGCCTGGTAGCTCCAGCAAAACGTGACTACGTTCCTTTTTTGTATTTATTTGTTCGCTTACCTTTAATCGGCTTCCCAAACAAGATGTAACTTCTTATACTCAATACACAGTCTTTTAGAATACTGTTAAATATTTTTTTAATGAGCCCTGTTTCGCCGATGGAAGATAGCCTACTGTTAATTATTTTGAGTATGTTATGCCGAAGTGATTTTTTGTTTTCTTTTTCCCTTTTCATTGTGGATTGGTAATTCGGGATTTTGCCAACGAAACGCGGCGTTTGTTTCGCGAAGGAAATACGGAACAGGGGAGTTAAGGCGTTACGGCTCGACAACAAACCGGGGATTTAAATCGCTTGGTGCTCCGCGAAAATAGAGAAACCTTTACAATTCATGTGGCGCTTTTCTGTTTAGCAACTACAGTCTGGATTGCAGAATGAGCAAGGAAAGACCCAAGAGAAACATAATCCAAAAGAAATACGTAAGTGTGTTATTTTAATGATTGATAATGCTTTTTAAATCGACCTTTACAAGTTTACACGTCCTTTTTGCTTGCTATAATGAAAACGTATTAAACTTTCATTGCCGGCCTTTCACGTACACTGTAAAAGAACAAAGAATTGTGTATTAAAATGTGTCGATGAGACTAAATATTCGGAGTTAGCTGTGTTGGCACCGATTTTGTAGAGAGCACTCGTGGTGCCAGGTTTTTCCTTTTCAACATCAAATCTATTATATTTGATCACTTACCGAGGTACTCTTATTTGTGCAAAAACGACAGAAACCATTGAAGCACCATTACAATGCTTCATTTGTGTGCTTGGCCACATTGATTAGCAACAATATTGGTTGAAATAGCGCGAATTTCCTCTGTAATTGTTGTCAGAATGGCTTTGTTTGGTTTTCATAGTGTTCCTATTTGAAGCCATGCAGACAGCCATATCGCCTCTGGCTTTTTCCGGGTTACATGTCCCGATGAAAGAGCTTTTCGTTAATAAACCGACTCGGCAATTAATATACAAGAGTATGGTTTTTCGTTTGAGGAATTGCTGTCGATTCGTAGTGTTTATTTGGGAAGGATCTGTGAGTATCGCGTTCGGAGAGATCGGCCACTGGAGCATAAAGCATCGAGAAAGGGGTTTGATCTTCGGATCTCTCGCTACACGCGGGGGCAGAAAACAGTGCTGCGTTTGAGCCTTTCGCTGCAATTCAGTGCGACTCGGCGCTAATGTGTACAAACTCACGACGAGCAAGGGACACGTTATAACCCGGACCCTTAAATGCACTACGCGATGTTTTTGTTTCGTTTTTGCACGTATCCTGCGTATGACCTCTGAGTAGACGGATGAGGATCCCCCCCAAGTACGGCATGGCTGTGCAATTATTTCAGATTTTAGTTGATTCTTGAAACGCACGGACGCTTGCGGCCGAAGGTATCCTAAATTCTAGTTTGAGCAGATCGTGGTAAATCCATGAATCCACTACGCTTAGGATCGCGAACTGGGGGGGTCGTTTTAAGTTGTAACTCCTTCAGTCGCATTGCAGAGGTGCTTGTACCGCAAAAGCAACCATTTTATCTTTGCAACCGCAACACTGGATATTTAAAAACGCGGACTGAAGCCCGTGGATGTCTTAAAAAGCACACGGACTCCCAACGTGTTTAATGTAGAGCGGTGAGCCAAGGGATTAAAAAGTGCAAGGCAAACAAAGACGTTAACGCATCTGAATCGCTCAGCACATTTCTCTATAACCCCGTTTAGCGTTTGACCCTGAACTTACTGTAACTGACCTCTTGGTAAAGTTTTGGGGAAGATTTTTTTATGACGTTTCACGGATGTGAAACAATTGTGGCAAACAACTTGCGTATTGAATTTCGTTGTATGTACTAAACTCTGTGTGCCTTTAGGCCCTCTTTAGAAAGCATCGGCATGACTATTTCAGGATGCCGACGAAAGTGCTCACACTCTTAAAACTCTCACAGTAAAGTTTGTGAGGATCTGTGTAAGGACAAGTATTTTGTCTGCCATGTGTTTTTAGAGCAACAGGTTAATCTACGACGTCAATACAGAACCCTATCGGGCATTTGATGTGACGTCACAAAGAGTTCGGAATGCAGAAACTTCCTCGGCGGAACGTGCGTCGGTCATTAATCCCGCTTGCGTGATACTTTGTTGCGTCATTTAATCACCGTCTTGGGAAGGAATTTTACATCAGCGGTGTGAAATGTTCAAAAGAGTCTCTTCAAGTCTGGTTTGAAAAGTGGTGCTTAAAAATGTAAACCATTTACATACAATACAAGCGGCCTTTAAAAAAATGCCTCGATTTCCAGTTTTACTTTATTTAGTTGTGTAGGCCTATCCAAGCAGTCGCGTGTGGTTATGTAAGAATTGATAGACAATTTCTGTCGGGATCAATAAAGTTAGGCATTCAATGTGTGTGATTTTTATATAAAATAAGTACATTCTTCAAATTATAAACAAGCACCATGATATAGACTACTTTCATCCTAAAAGAGTATTTATTAAATATACTCTGGATGTAACATTTAATTTGTAATTGTCCCATATAAGTTATGATTCATGACCATTCTGTAACCTTTAAACAAAGGGCTTGGACTAGAAGACCAAGTTATTGTTTTTCTGGAAAGTTTGGCTAATTAAGCAATTGGATCTTCAGGACATAAGAAATTTAAGACGAGTCATATATATCTAAAGGGTACGTGAGTATTTACTTCTGTTACTGTTTTCATAGTTATCACATATCACAGGTAAAATGTAATTTGGCGACAATTACAAACCCCATTTAACTGAAAATCCAGCGTAGTTTGGGATGTTACCAAGGCAACAACTTTGCAGTTTATGTATGATGAAATTTGATGCTGATTCAGTTTAGTTTAATATGAATAGATGGCCATAATTTTTAACCCGGGTGAATTACATCTGTTGCAGTTCAGGTAGAGAGGAAATGATTGTGGGCTTGTGGCGGTTGCTTGCGGAGGCTGAAGTTCTTTCCCGGCAGCATGGTGTCATGCAGGTGAACTGCAGATCCGATGGCTCAGCTGACAGCAGCGCTGTGTAAGGGTCAGGATTGGACCATGTGCCTGGGGGTTTAAGGTAATGTGGGTGTCCTGGCAGGGAAATGTCACACGCCCCTGATGCCAGTATCCTTAAGGAATCTCTTCTGTGGGTCTGTGGGCTGCTCGCTATCGCGTCACAGAAAACGTCCACGTACCTATCGATCTGCGGCAGGAGCGGATGCCAAGCTGAGAGTTAGATGGAGATTCGGGCACCTTTGTCCGCGGCTTGGTGTTCTCTGGGCCTTCTGGGCAGGTTGCCGTGTGGACTCCACCCACATCAGTACCCTTCCCCGTAACCCCATCATCCTCCTCTTTATGCCATTGCAGCCTGGGCTCCATCTGTCAAGGCTTTTGTTTTTTTTTGTGCTTCAGAATAGCGGTAGTCTGCTCTCATTACAGGCAATCCCTTCAAATTGTTAATGTGCTTTCTTGTAGAAATTAATTAGGCCTGATGCTCTGCTTCAGATGGAGGGCGACGGGCTGCCTGAGCGGGTGGGCCTGTAGCCCCCCCCCCCCCCTGCTCGTCAGCTTTCCTATCAATTTTTTTATTTTCTAGATGTGAACTTTTTCCATTTACCGTCGTTGAACCTCGGAATGAATTCAGAGAACATGCAGGTGTTGGAGAAAGTGGCAGTGTTTGTTCTGTCGGGGGTGGGGAGCGGAGTGCGGGGGTGTAGGCCGATAGTGCATGTTTACGTTTTTGGGTTTTAATGGCACGGTCACGCTTTCGTCTCTCTGTTCAGAATTGAGTAACGTTTGCGAGACCTGTCCCGTCTGCGCAGACTTGGCAGCTGTGGGCGAAACTCGGTAAAGCCAAACGGGCAAACGGCAACAACACGGGAACGACCCGGTGAAGCCTTACCAGGGACACCCCCTTTCCCTTCCGGAAGCTCTCGCCCTTCTGATCTAACCTCCCCTTAATTAGCGTAAGACAATTAAACATGCTTGGCTTCCTCCTCGCCCACCCTCCTCCGTGGAATGGGAGCTTGCATTGTTTTGTTTTTCCACATATGCAAAGGGTGGGGTGAAAATTCATCAGCCGGGAGGGGAGTGTCATCTGTGAAGTAAACAAGGGAGCGGGATTGAGGTGCCCTGATCTGGGAGCCGTATTAACGGCTGCCTTATAAGCCTGCGCACACGTATGCTTTTAGTATTATTTTGATGTTGTTAATAATGGCAAATCGGTATTTACCTCAGTTCGTTTTTGATTGGGGATAGTGCTGAAGAATGGGTTTCTTTTTGGTTTATTTTGCTGGTTTAAGTGAGCGAGCCGCGCAGGGTTAGGCTGCCGCCCCGGTGCCCAGTTGGGCTTCCCCCTAATTCATTGCTGCTTGGTGGGATAAGCACAGCTGCACTGGGGCCTTTAGAGATGTAAAGGAGCTGTCAGTCTTCGTTTCATCAGGCGCACAACTGATGAGGCCGAGTCGAAAAATCCACAAGAAAGGAAACAAAACAGAGTGCAGCCAGGGCCCCGTGGGGGCCTCCGCCGGCGCACCGGGCCCCTTTTAAAATTTAAATGCGGGCCCCCGCGTGCGCCCTCGCGGTCGCCGTGTTTTGTGCCGGAGTCCCTCCTTGCTTCATTTCACCTTGTGTTTTATTGCAAATTGTCTCTCTCTGAAGCTGACACGCGTGACGTACCCGGGGTCCTGCCCGGGTCCTCGGAGGGGGCGCGGCGTCGTAATGGTGTGGGGTGTTAAGGCAGGCCGTCAGGAAGCACCAGGTGGGAGGGACTGGCTACCGTGGGCAGGGGGGGGGGGCTGTTTGTGATTTTGTGACGGGCACAGCAAAGTAACTGTTAAACGACGTTAAAACGTAGCTTTGTCGCCAATCACAGACCATGTTACACTGAAATGGGAGTTGGAAATGGTGAGATCTCAATGGCGTTGATTATGGGAAGCGATCTCTGTCTCGCTCAGGATGTTCCATTTTTCATTTGCTCGAAATCATAGTTCCTGCTCGGGAATAGGCGTCCGAGGTTCGGCACATGCGCACGTAGATGCCATCATCGAGAGACATGTTACCTCGGAATCGGTGAAGGCGGCACGGTGCTGATTCATTTACAGCGGCTGACGCAGAGTGAAAGCAGTGCACTGTCAGTTTGGGTAACACTTCGTGATTTAAGGTCTCGTGTTTGATGCCGTCCGGTATGAATAAATGGACCAAAACGTCCAGTGTGTTTTATAACTTTAATGTGTTGCTGAAAAATATTACATTCACTTAGCAGGCAATTTTTATCCAAAGCGATTTTTTTTTGAGAAAGCTGGGTCAGACGTTGCCCGGAGCAATTGGTGATTAAAGGCCTTGCTCAAGGGCCCAACGGTGAAGTCACAAGCATGGGATTTGAACCGACAAACCTTCTGCTCCCAGCCACAGTGTCGAAACCTGCTGAACCACACGGCGCCCAT